TATTATTATTATTATTATTATTATTATTATTATTATTATTATTCTTAATATTTTTGTTTGATACTATTGTGTAATATTATTAGAATTATATAAGTATTGCGTGTGTTGTAAAAATATCATAGTTAAAAACATTGATATAATAATTATTGATTCATTGATTTATAAGAAATTCTAATGAAACGCGCTATAACTAAAATGTATTGGAAACATGGTCGAAATATTTCTAAATAATAAAATAAAATTCTAAAATTTCTTTATATTTTATCACAAATTAAAAAAATCAAATAATATTTCATTTATTTTGTTAAATTACAACTTGTCACAATTCAATAATAACGCTGTATGCTTACATATTTAAAAAATAATATTTAAATATAACAAAACAATGTTCGACCTAGTGAATCACAAATAATATTGTTGATAATAATAAAAAGAATTTCGAAGGAAATGAGTATGAATTTAATATTTCGTTCTTTAATTTTACACGCATGAAACAGAATGTAAATAACATTTAATTTAATCATAACGATTGAAATCTTGATTCATTAATACTTAATTTTTAATAGAAAAATTCTATCGTTATATGTTTCTATCATCATATTAAGTTTCAAAGTTAAACAAATTTTCCGCAAAATTTCTCGTATAGAATAATAATATTAACACTAACTATAATAATAACAATAATACTAACACACTATGAAATACATACATTTTAATATTGTATAATGATTCCGAGACACTAGAGGTCTTTTTCTAAGTGGCACCAGTACGCTGCATTATTTAATCGAATTTTATCGTAGTATTTAAAAGTATCTTTATACAAAAATTTTTTACTAATCTGGCATAAGAAAACGATAACACTATTTTCCAAAGTTGTCCTTTGAAATTTTATAAAATTATTAATCTGTTCTATAATTTGTCTATAATGTGAGATTGGAGTTACATCGCAGACAAGATCGCTATATTCATGTTACTGATGTCTTAAGATTTTACAATCTACAATAAGAATCTTAAGATTCTAGAATCTACAATATATTAATCACAGGTATATATAATTTATTAATATATTGTTGCAATTGTGTATACACACATACACACACACACATATATATATACATACGTATACTAACATTAAAATCTTACTTACAAAAGAAATTGAATTCGACGAAATAGACTATATTCTACACGATTACGTGACGATTACATACCATCATCGAGAAGATTTATTATGTATTGAATTGGTTTGTAATTTGAAAATTATTATTGTATTGAATTGGTTTGTCATTTTCTTTTTACATTATTTTGTAATTAGTGTTAAGAATGTATGTAGTAATTTCGATCTTATAAAATTTGTCATACATGTTCCATTTAAATTGTGTGTGATGTAATCTCTCACAAGGAATTGAAATTATGAAAAAATATTTTTGTAGAAATTGTTTGATATAAAAAGATATGTTATGTGGTATCAATGGTATTTCTGTAAAAAAAAAATAAGTTAAAATAAAAGAAAAAGTTGTGGAACAGATTTCAAGGTTAACTTTATGTTTTTAAACAGAATCGCGTATAATTTTGAATGTATTAATCGACATTCCTTAGTATTGACTTGTTTCAAAAGACCATTGGTTTAGGAAATAATTCAATTTTAATTTTGTGAGATTTATCATATAAAAAATGAGAAAAGGTATGAGCAATATTCTTGTGTTTATGTTTTTATCTTTCATATAATAACCTTTATGAAGTTAAAATTAGATATTTCTTAAATATCCAATTTTTATTATATATATATATATATTATAAATAGGTTAATATTTTTTATAAGAAGTATTCACATAAATGCATTCAAAAATTATCCATTTAAAAAAATTAAACTCTCCCTTATCACTTCATTTGCAAAATAATAATTTATATCATATGATGACCTATTTTGAATTAAACAATTTTTGTCAAAGTAGTTTTTTGATCATTTTTCAGTCTTATCCTAATCCTATATTTATTTCATCATTTTCAATTAAATGAAATATTGTGTATATAATTCAGTTATTATAAAGTATTGCTTATTAAATCTCTATCAAAACTGAAAACTATAACTAAACTTATTCTTTATCTATTTTTATTATTACATCAAGATATTTGAAATCTTAGATTCTAAATTATATAATATTCTAAATTATATTTTAAACTATATTCTATATCATAACTGATAAAATATTATTTTTATTATTTTTCTAGTTTGATGGGGATGATCAAGTTTGTAAAATTTATTAAACGATATTGGATAGTAACGCTATTTCCAAGCTTTACCATAATTGCTATTTCTGCAGATCTGTGGCATACTCATCAGTGGAAGAAACGTTTAGCTGCAGAGAGACAATATAAATAATTAAAATGTTTCGAAAATTATCATTGGTGAAACAACAAATTATTGCTTCGACTGGGTTCTTAATCGTACTACTATCTGGAAACTATATGTACAAGTATTATTCTGGACTAACAATGTCAACTTTTCGCGATAAATCAGCTCTATATGGAAGAGAGTTAAAACCTGGGGAACCTCCATCTTGGCCATAATTTACTCCTATGTTATATATTGTATGCATGTATAATTATTTTATAAAAATAATTATAGCTGTAAAAAATAAATGAGTAGAAAGAAGTAATAAATTATGTAAGTTAATTGTTCATTACTTGTTCATCAAATAATCAATATATAAAACATGTATTGAATGATTCTTCGTATTTCATTTTAGAAATAAAAATTTCTTATAAGTTTTTTCAATTGACTTGTTTTTACATATAATTTTTCCTCGTAAAAACGAAATTAATTTTATAGATGAAAGCGTAATATGTCAATATTTGCGTTAATGGATACTGATTTAAACAGCTACCTTATATTTCCATTATTTTATTGTATTGAAATAGACAATTCTTGTTTATGGAACATTTCACAAATTCGTATTTAATTATATTAAATTTCTTACGTACAATGAAGTTAAATTTTTAAAATTTTATTTGTACATTGTATTGTTATTTAATCTGTTATTTTTTTCATTGATATTTATTTACTATATATATATGTATATAATTATTATAAATAATTATACATAATATATATCATGTATTCATAGATGACATCTCTCTAAATCAGTAAATTTTTACAGTTTAAAATAAACTATGACTTTATTGCAAAAGTTTCAGCTAAATTTCACTATATATTAAAGGGATATTAGGTTTCACTAGTGTGTCAATTTTTCAACACCATGTACCATAGGCATATGTTTATACAGAAATAAAACTAGTGAAAGATATCAACGCGTTTGAAGTTTTTTATTAAAAATGTTCAGTAATTTTAATTAGCGACAACTTATCTTCCACTGGAATATCTTTTGTTGGAAGAGTAAAATAAGTTAAATAGAAATTATACAAGATATTGCGTAAATTAATTATATATATTAAGTTTTTAAAAATTTTATAATTTAAACACTATTTCAAAGGTTTCCCCTAATTTAGATTGTTCTTAATTTGTCCGTCTATCGTAAAGAGGGCGCTATTATTGATTCATTAATTCAGGGGCATATAGATGGCGCTGTAAAGTCTCCATACAATATATTTAATTTCATACTATTTTGTTCCAAAGAATACAATTCGTGCAGTAAATACGTAACAAATATTTTATAACTATTTTCAAAATAAAGTATTCGTACATTTTCTGTATTTAGAAAATTAACATCTTCCCGCCTAATATGGAGTACAATACCGACATGCGCACGCATATCGATTTGATCAATGGTTTCGCTGAGAACAGTATCGTAGATAGAAAATAAATACCTAACGAATATGTTACATGGAAGAACGAAATAATACACGGTGAAGTTACTAACTCAACCGTAAATCTTTTAAATGTAATTGGAAATCACGTCTTAATGTTGAATTCTCCATTAAGTTGAATTCTTCAATTATTTAAAAATTACGCACAGACTACATCAATCAAGACATTAAGTTATTAAAAAATTACTGTCTCAAACCGAGTAATTTCGTTACGTCAAATTTTCGTTGAAAAAATTCAACACGACTGAAGCATGATTCATATTTTGATAAAACAAACATTGACTTTATAGCCCCAAGCTACATTTACAGATTAATTTGATTTTGCAAGAAGCGTATAGTGTACGAATATAATCGAAATATTCGTTATAAGGAATTGCAAGCATGTTCAAAAGCTATGAAATCCAATTTTTTTTCGTACAGGGAAAAAAAAA